ATATTCTATATATTGCAGTTATATGGTGTTTTTGGTTCCCACAGTATATGATTTTGTTGTCATTTTGTTGTTCTTATTTTGCCATTTTGCTGTTTTTGTGTTATACAGTGCTGTGTAACTTTTTGTTTGCTTTTGTACTGTGCCTTGAGATCTGAAGTTACATGTTCATGCAAGTGTTTCTCTTGCCAGTGAACTTTACATAATGTAATGTAGAGCCTCACAATGTTAAAATTGGTGTCATTCACATGAATAAGCATCAGTTTGCTAAATAAAATAACAAGTCAGTGATAAAGAGAAAGTATGAATGGACTATCATTCAGTGTTGTGGAGCTGAGGAGCATATACTGAAATACTGAAATATATCTAAGCATTTTGACTTTCATGGTTCAAACGATGCTGATTGTACCTTTTATTGTGGTGGCATTGACTAATTCATGGGTGGGATTATTTGCTTTTGAGACATGAGTCAATTGTTATGGAGAAGTTGCAGGCTTTTGCAGCTAAACCATAGTGTTGTGCTTATAGTCTTGAGAATGTTAAGTATGTTTCATGAAATGTGCCAAAGCAATCGAGAAAAACTATAATTTATTTTGACCAACTAGACTAAAGCAACTGAAAAATGTGCCAAATGATGACAATTGTAGAAAACCATTTGCATATATGTACTAAAACATTTGGAAATTTGTGTGAAGCAATGTGAAATGATATTCTGCTGTGCAGAAGTGACATTATTGTGTTGGAATTACTTATTGTTTTACAAATATTAATTCTTATTTGAGAAATGCTCCAAAGCAATCAAGAACATATGTACTATATTTCTAATGTTGCTGAATGATAAATCTATTTCATAAATGTATGTATTTCCTCCCCGACCAAAAGTCCTATTTACCAAAAATACCATCAGGGAATTGCTTCAGGGATAAATTGAGGGATAAGTAAAGTATTCCTATCCCTAAATTAAGGGGAGAAAATGAAACCACGATTTTTCACCTGAAATTCAGCTTGGAAAAGGCAGCCTTTGTTAGCTATCTTCTTCTTGTAGGTATCTAGAAGGAGCTCTGCTCTAATGGGCTCCACATCCAGCAGGCTCTGATCTTCATCTATGGAGTTCATGAGGAAATTGTGTCCAGATTCTGCAGCTTTCCACAAAGTACACCTTGATAACAAGATCCCAAAAATGTCTTACCCCTGGTCATGAGTCCCAGCTCATCATTGGAATTGCTGAAAGTGATTAATAAAACAACCTTAAAATGTTGCTAGCATTCAGTATATACTTTCACTGTATACTTTAGACATTTAGATAAAACTTGGAATTTGAAATGAAAACATCATGTTTATATTATGATTTATTATGCCTAAAAAAGAATTTACAGTTTTTGTCAAATGCTTTGGTGCTTTTCTCAAATGTCAATTAACATTTGCAAAACGACCAGTGTAATCTCCACGTCATGATGCCACTTTTGTACAGCAGAACATCACTTCTCATTGCTTGATACAAATCTTGATACAACTGGTCTTTTACAATTGTCATCATTTGGCACAATTTTCAGTTGCTTGTTGGTCAAAACGGAGTAGTTTCCTACTGTAATAACTTTACACCCAAACCTATATGTTCACTACCAGTCAAAAGTGTTTATCCACCACAGGTTTTTCCTACTTTTCCATTAATTTCATTAACTGCAGTTTTTGTTTATTCTTGTTAAGCATTGGAAGGTTGAGTGAACAACTAGAAATGAAAAAATAAGTCAAATAAAATAAATCTCTGTTATAATATGGAAAGAATATGTAACAGTGCATGTCTGATATCCTATTAGCTGGTTGTGTGGTGATGGCTTAGCTGTCCTTTAACTTTAAATGCACTAGTTAACTCTTTCATCCCATGAAACAGAGCAGTATTTAATGTCCCTTGTAGAATGAATGCTTCAGATTTTCTCTGCTGTTATAACTGCTAGAGGAGGTTACTTTGATGAAACAAAGATATGACATTTTCTTGCTAATAAAGGTACTCAAATGGTGAACATACTGTAAATTTATTTGTTACTTGATGGGGGGTGGAGCATGTGCAAAGCGTCTAGGCCAGTTTCAGTGTGATTGAACGTAAACATGCAGGAGTAAATCGACTCCCAGTCGCATTATCTGGGTGTCTTAGTCCGACTTCTAGTCCGATTTAGCACAATTTCACTTGGACTAATATGTTTACATTTAGTTTAAAAGTCAGGTTTTAGCTGGACTAAGACAATAATTGAATTTTCTTAGTGTGCATGTAATGAGAAAGTGGGAAATGAGGAATTGTGGAGCTCAGAGCATACTTATGCTGACTTTTTGACAGTATATCTAAGCATTCTGACTTAAAACAATGCTGATTGTACTTTTCATTTGTGTGGCACTTTCTTATTCATTACTGGAATCATTTGCTTTTGAGACACGAGCTGGTGGTGAAATTTAATAAATGCCTGTAATGGCTGAGGTGCCCCTGAGGAGAGGTTTGGGACCTGAATTGGTGATCATCTAACTATCCAACTAGATATCAGTAACCTTTTGGAGAAGAGAAGGAATTTTAACTTTTAATTTTTAGTTTTTCTTGTGTTACTCTTTACTTGCATATGTTAATGTTAAATTGTGTTTTTTATTTTGAGCAAATGTGCAGTTACTACCCAGATAAATAGCTTTAAACATTTCTAATGACTGCCTAAGACTTTTGCACAGTACTGTATATACACAGGTAACAAAGTATAGATGAGGGACATGTGTGGGCATTTCTAATTAACTAAACACTAGAGCAAGGAATTAATAGAACTGGTGGGGGGGTCATTAACAATCACAAAGGATGAAAACACTGGTTGAAACACTGGAATCAAAGGAATGGGATGGCCAGTGACCCCTGCTGGTCAAACAGGGAAACAACAGATAAGGCAAAGACTGATCCTGACAATACCTAAAAAACAAATGATCACTGATGCTTCTGTTGGATAGTCTCATGGTACCCCTCTACATACCCCATTCACAGTCAATTTAATAAGTACAGTGGCATAGAAAAGTTTTGGCACCCTTGCTTAAAATGTCTCTTACTGTGAATAGTTAAGTGAGCAGATGAACTGATCACCAAAAGGCATAGAGTTAAAGATTACACATTTCTTTAATATTTTAAGCAAGACTACATTTTTATTTCCATCATTCACAGGCTCAAAATACCAAAGAAAGGAAAAGAGCTGGAAGCAAAAGTTTGGGCACCCCAAGATATTTAATCTCAGATAACATTTACCAAGGCCTTCATTAGCTCATTAGGACTATGGCTTATTCACAGTCATTGTTAGGAAATTACAGGTGATGCAAATTGCAAAGCTGTATAAATTCTCCGTCTCCTCAAAAAGAAAAATAAAATAATTGATGCTCACAAAGTTGAAGGAGGCTATAAAAATAAAGCGAAGCATTTCCATGTAGCTGTTTCCTTAGTTCATAATGTTATTTAGAAATAGAATTTAACAGGAACAGTGGAGGTAAACTTGAGGTCTGGATGATCAAGAAAAAATTCTGAAAGGACTGCCCCTGGGATTGCTAGAAAGCCAAATAACACCCCAAAAGACACCTAGGAAGATTTAGCAGACACTGGAGTAGTGGTGCAGTGTTCTACTGTGCAGCAAGACCTGAACAGATACGACCTTCATGGTAAAGTCAGCAGAAGGAAATCTTTCCTAAATCCGAGCCATAAAATTCATGCGTCAGAAATATGCAAAGGAATGTCTAAACAAGGCTGATGCGAGTCCAAATAAAAACTTTTTGGCCACAATGTGCAAAGGTACGCTTGGAGAAGAAAGGGTGCCAAATTCCAGGAAAGGAACACCTCTCCAGCTGTTAAGCGTGGGGGTGGGTGGATCATGCTTTGGGTGGCACAGGGAACGTGTCATTGGTAGAGGGAAGAATGGATTTGAATAAATACCAGAAAATTCTGGTAGCAAACATCACACCATCTGTAAAAAGTTGAAGCTACAACAAGATAATGAGAAACACCACACCTCAAAATCTACAATGGAATACCTCAAGAGGCTGCAAGCCCTCACAATCCCCTGACTAAGTGTCATTGAAAAGCTGTGGATATATCTCAAAAGAGCAGTGCATGCAAGATGGCCCAAGAATCTTGCAGAATTAGAAGCCTTTTGCAAGGACAAATGGGCGAATATTCCCTAGCCCTTTATTTTTCAGTTTTTTGGCATTTTGTACCTGTGAATGATGGAAATAAAAATGCTATCTTGTTTAAAATATTAAAGAAATGTGTAATCTTGAATTTTATGTCTTTTGATGATCAGTGCATCTTTTGCTCAATTAACTATTCATAGTAACAGACATTTTAAGCAAGGGTGTCCAAACTTTTGCATGCCACTGTAAGTAGTATATATACTGTATATATACACATACACACACACACACACACAAAGCTAAGAATCAGGGTACAGTGTACATTATTTTACATGCTAGCAGTGCACAGTGCATATGGCAGAACTTACCACGAATCCCTCTTCTGATGAGCAAAAATCTTATACAAAACAAACAGGAGGGCCAGACACAGAAGAACAATAAAGAATGCCAGGAATCCAATTACAGCTTTATCATTATCTGGAAAACAAAACAAAATCAACATGATGACATCATTCCATTCCACATGCAGATTAATCAGACAGCAGTATTTGTAGCATTGATCAGTAAACATACACTTAACTTTGAATTAAATGAGAAATCTGTGACAACATTCTAACCATTATACCAGTTCAGCATGGCCAGCATAGCAGTCTGTAAACACACATTTATGTATTTATTATGTAAAGTATTGAATACACATATAATACATAAAAACTTACACTTTGTATCAAATTGCCTGGATGCATCATCACTGTAAAAATGGCCATTCCCCACTTTAACCTAAAAAATGAAACATGATTATTTTTCAATAAAGCAATGGATTTTAATATACAGACGTGAAACAGAGTAGTAATATGTTCAAATAAAAAAACATTTCTTTCAAACAACAGAGAGGTTTTTTAAACTGATCTTAAAATATACTTAGCATCCTACAGAACCTTAAATGTTACACAAAAAAGAAGTGGATCATTTAAGTAGAATGACAGCTTCCTTTCGAGAGATTGTCCTTTTTTAAATTTCTTCTACAGTTGTCTTTAGTATCTGAAATGT